TTGCCATTTCTTTCTCCAGCTCATTTTACATATAAGGAAACTGAGGCAAACAGGGTTAAGTGACTTGCCCAGGGAAACACGATTACTCTACTGAAGTCTTGTTTTCATGTCTTGCTATCATGTGAGGTTGTCTATTTGTTGAAGCCTATGTCAGTGGAGCTCTTAAGTATGAACCAGGCAAAAGAACAATTATTAAAGGACCAGACAAGTTAAGTTCAGAGAGGCTCATCACTAAAGAGCTGGCCATCAAATGATAGTTAACAATAACTCATGAAGAGTACTGGAGAGGTAGAATCCACATTGGTGCAAAAAGTATCTACATTCATGACTCCTTGGAGTGTTGAAAGAGATGCTTTATTTTTATCCATCCCCTCAAAAAAACCTTATTAAAATCCCATTAAAGTTTAAAATTGCACTAGGACTTTTAGGAAGAAAACCTTTATTACAGAAACATCAATGTCTGTCAGTATGGAAAATCTTAGATAATTTATATACTTGTAGATTGCAAGGTTGTCAAAAATTCTCTTGTGGTAGCTCAGAGGGGATAATTTGGCCACTATTCATTATTTCTCCCTATGTAAAGCATATATGATTGATACCACTTTAATGGTGTCTGAGTTAGGCCTTGTTAGGGGTTACAAAACAATTTTCTCATATCATCTGATCTCCTGTTAAAGAGCAAATGCAAATGCAAATATTAAAATCCCCATTTTTTCAGAAGATGAAATTAAGGCTCTGAGAGAATTTAGTGACTTGCCTGTGGATATATAGCTAATAAGTAGTAGAACCCTAGTTCAACTCACTTCTCTTGACTCAAAGGCCAGTCAGTGTTCTTTCCACACTATCAAACATTAATTTAAAATAATATTTTTAGACAACTGTCGTATCTAGAATGGTTTTGGAGGTTTTGCTTTTCTGAAGCTTCAATTTATTTCCAAATGACTTTATATGTAATCAGACTGAAGATCTCGGGGCAGTTAGGTGGGACAGTGGATAGAGCACCTGCCCTGGAGTCAGGAGGACCTGAGTTCAAATGCGGCCTCAGACCAAACACTTGACACTTACTGTGTGACCCTGGGCAAGTCACTTAACCCCAGTTGCCTAAAAATTAAAAAAAAAACCCCGAAGATCTCAGTTCTGTCACAAGCTAGCCATGTATCCTTGGGTTGGCCTCATAATTTCCCTTGGCCTCACCTATAAAATGAGGACATTGGACTAGAAGACTAATAAGATCTCTACCAACTCTGAAATTTTATGAGCCCATAAACCAATCAATAAATTTTTGAGATTTTACTACATAAGATAAAATACTTTGTGTATGTTTAATTAAAATAATGAAAAACTCTTTTGATACCATTTAATACTTACTGTATATAACCTGTTAAATTACTACATAAGGCTTATATAAAAAAAGTAGTATTTCCTAGAATAGTGAAATGGTAGCATTTAGTTGGAGAGTTTCACTCATTTCTTGATTAAAATAATGTTGCTTGAGCACTGTTTCATTATAACAACAGCTTATATTTTAAAGTATTATGTCTCCATGTGGCATTGGCTATTTTGAATTTTCTATACTATACTATAGAACTTTTATTTCAAAACTTTTATGTAAACTTTATGATTAAGTCCCATGGAGGTAGGCATACATATATGTTATTGTTCACATTTTACAAAGTGTAAGCCAAGTTCAGATCTGCAGGGTGGTTAAAAGAAAAAAAAATCATTATTAAAAAAAAAAGCAGAGATAGAAACCAAATTTCGTTTCCAGACCATTAGGTGCTGCATTGAGGCTCCCTCATGCTTTTTGATAATTGAAATCTCACTTTCTAGGAAATTTACAAATGGAACATCATCCCCAAAGTTCATATGTGGATTTGGATCAGTTATTCTGGTTGGAGCTAGAATGAAAAAATAGTATAGTCAACAAATATTTTCTGAATATCTATGCCCTCTGCTTATTGAAAACTAAATTTTAGAAATGCTGATGGTGATACGAGTGCTTGTCTGAGAAGCAACAGTGACTTAAACTCGGGTCTTTGGCTCCAGGGCAGCTAGTTGGTGCTAGAGTGCTGGCCTGCCTGGAAGCCTCATTACTTACTAGCTCTGTGACCCTGGACAGGTCACTTAACCCTGTTTGCCACAGCTTCCTCATCTATAAAATGGGCTGGAGAAGGAAATGGCTAATCACTCTAGTATCTTTGTCAAGAAAACCCCAAATGGGGTCATGAAATATAGGACACAACTGAAACAGCTGAACAACAAAAGTAAGGAAGGACAAGTGAGTGTCTAATGGCAAAAACTACTGAATTTGAAGTCAGGAAATCTAGGTTTGAATACTGGCCTTGCTATTTTTTGCCTTTCAGTAAATCACTTCATCACTTCTCTAGACTTCAGTTTTATCATCTATAGAATGATTTTGGACTAATCAAGAATTCTTGACATAGATTCTGTGATGATTTATTTTTAATGTTTTGATTGCTATATTTCAGTGGAATTGGCTTACCTTGTAATCCTGTATATTTTATGTTATGCATTTTAAAACATTTTTTTTTCTGCAAAGGAGTCCATAGCCTTTACTAAACTCTTTTAGTCCATGGCATGAAAAAACCTAAGAATCCTTAGAATAGATGATATATCTAAGCTCCTTTCCACACGTAAAATCTGCATCTCAACAGCCAGGACTCAAAGGAAGTGAAACAGGTTGTCTGCAAGGAAATGAGCAGGGCTGAAAGGTGAATTGAGTAATTTGAAGAATGCCCCACGGTAGAAAGTAAAATAGCAATAATAGTAACAGTAATATCTTTTCCTTTTACATTGCCAGAATTTCTCCCCGTCTCCCTCCTTTGGCCGTCTCAAAGAGCCATCTCATATAATATTAAAAAAAAAAAAAGAAAGAGGAAGAGAAAAAATAATCTAAACCAATAAGTACATTTAAAAAAATCAGAAAATATGGCCCCATCTGTGCAAAGGAATGGGATAGGGGTGTCTTGTCATATCTCTTCTTTGGAGCCATACTTATTGTTTGTAATTTTGCAACATTTACTTGCAGCTGTTTTGTGGTTCTTTCCATTTGTATTGTAGTTGTATATATTGTTTTCTTGGCCCTGTTTACTTTACTCTGCATTAGTTCATGTAAGTCTTTCCATGGTTCTCTTCATTTATCATGTTCATTGTTTCTTACATCATTGTAATGTTCTATTACATTCGTATATCACAATTTGTTTAGCTGCTTTTCGATCAATGCCACTTACACCATTTAAAAGAAAAACTCTTTACCTTAACATCAAATGACTTAGAGCCAGAAGGGACTTAGCAATTAGCCTAACATCATAATTTTATAGGTGAAGAAGTCAAGGCAAAGTTATACAAGTTGTAATAAGTTGCAAAGCCAGGATTTGAACCCAGGTTCACTGGCTTCAAATATAACTAACTACACCCCCACACCAAGACATTATCTGCTTCCTGGCATTTTCTTCTTCACATTTGTTTAGAGATGAGTATTTCTTTCTAAGCAAAGTTTTATGTCAGGTAGCCATTAAAAGCTGGGTTTTGAAGGTAATCTATCCTTGTACTTATTCATCCTATCCCAGTGGTTATAAAAAAAATTCTTGCACATTAAGCCAAATCTCAGGGTAAATGTAAATAATATGCTTCATATTCTTTTCTGGCAATCCAAATTAGATTAAAATGAAATTGGGAAATATTAACAAAATAAAAATCAATAAATCATAGATAATATTAAGATGTGATTTTCTACGTCAATGTGTGACCTACAGGAATCCTTATTATGATTTAGTGGCCCCCATTTCTGTTTGAGTTTGACATCACTGGCCCAGACCACCAAGCCTCCAAACACCATGCTCTGAGGGACTTAACCCATTCAGCTTTGGGACTCATGCCTTGGGGTCCATGTTGGTCCCGAGTTGTGGAAGAGTACATGAACATAAAGTCATGTGATACTCCATATCTAACCAACTGCATCTGTACCTCATATTTCCACCACAGGTATCTTACCAGTAGTTTTGGTGTTACAGGTGAAGCCTCCCCTACCCCCACCTCAACCTTCCACACCTCCCTCTGTGAATCATAATCAAATCAATACTGACACTGCCCTTTGCCTTCACTAACCATCCCTGGACTTTCCCATGTCAAAACATTTCTTCCTTGCCACCACTTCCCACATGAGTTGTTTCTGCCTCTTAGAATGTAAGCCTCTTGAGGACAAGGATATTTTTTAAAATTTGTATTCTTAGTGTTTAGCACACACCTCATAGTGTATATGGATAGATGAATAGAGATAGATGATATACAGTTATCCTTTCTATACTGTGACTTTCCCCATTGTGGTTTCAATATATCATGGGTTGGCATAAGAAATTAAATGGGATTTTTGGGGGGAGACTTGCAGAGGCCACAGATGACACATGAAGGCCAGCAGATGACACAGAGCCTATGACCAAATACTTAACCTAAATTTTACAATAAGGTACTGTAAATAACCCATAAAAGAAAAAGAAAAAAAAATCAGACTTCTTCACTGGTATGAAGGTAGGGCCAAAAAATTTTAGATGGATTTTCCAGATAGTGGGGGCACTGTGCCCCTAACCCCCACAATGGGGAAGGGATAACTGTATACACAAAGATCTTAATAAATGCTTTTCATGTATTCATTCATTCATTCATACTTTCATGTAGTTTCTCAAAATTCCATGAGCATCTGTTGATTTTCTTTTTTTCCCCTAAGGAGAAGGGATTAAAGATATTAAATTACATGATATTCAACAATCAATGCATTTTTTATTCAAATGATCAAATAATCACATTTTAAATATTTTAAAGTGATCATGGCATTGGAAAAGTTCTGCCTAGTGCTCATTCCACAGGAGAAGATATAGCCCAGCTCATGTTTAAAAAGCCAAATGAAAATGCCTTCAGAGACCTTGGCTGCACAGTCAGCGGTCAAATGTTTCAATGCTTCATTGCTCCTGTCCCTGTTACAGGTACATGTGACAGCACTGCAGCGATGAGTGGAATTTTAAAGAGGAAGTTTGAAGAAGTCGATGGCTCCTCACCCTGTTCCTCCGTGCGGGAATCAGATGATGAAGTTTCTAGTAGTGAAAGTGCAGACAGTGGGGACAGTGTCAATCCATCCACTTCTAATCATTTTACCCGTGAGTACTAAAATCATGTCTGGTGCCAGTTGTTTTGTTCTGCAGTGTTAAAAATTGTGTTGGATAAGACTTATTTTTAACCTACATGTTTATTGGGGGAAAAAAATTAATGGGTCTAAAAAGATCCACAGAGCTATTGGCTAAAGCCAAGGTATTTTTAGGCAGCAATATCATTAATTCCTATAATATATGACTATTAACAAACTGGTTCAATTTTTTTTTTAAAAGGATACAGGGAATGGAAAGGGCTCATTGCTGAATCCCAGTGGCCTTGGTTGGGAGAAGGTAGTTTTGTAAGAAACATAGAGTTCAACAAATCATAGAATTATAAATTTTTCATAGTAAAAGGGAATACTTTTAGTTAATCTAATTCCCTCATTTAAAGTAATTGCACATTTTTTGCATCCTTCAAAAAAGGGCCAAGAAGTTAAATTCACTTATATGTGCATCACTCAAACAAGCTACCTCAGGTTTAGGGTACATAAGGGGCTGTATTCACTGAAAAGCATAGGGCATGAGCCCCCATTAATGTGTTTATTTTTAATAGTCAGCCAGAGGACACAATTAATTCAAAGCAAAAATACTTAATGAAATACCATATAAGAAAAGTTAACCACAGAACATTCCCCCATAAACTAAAAACACATTCTTTATACCTTAAGTGGGAAGAGTAGATACAGCTAGGAAAAATGCAGATAGGCATTATGTGTATGGACAGGGTACTTGCACATAGGGGTAATTCATGTCTCCTGATGATGTTATCGTTCTTCCTCCTTGATCTTGTTTCCTACTTGAAACATATGGCGCGTAGTCTCAGTCTGACAATGATTCTCTGTCATGTATGTGTGTCATGCTTGTGGTGTCTGCTGGTCTCAGCTGGTTACTGTTTAATGGTACTGCAATGCTCTTGTCTTCATGTTGGTCTTAAAATTGCTGAGTGCCTCTTGACTACCAGCTTCTAGGCTTCATCTCTTCAGGGAATTTGCTGGTAACATGGACTGCTTATGGTATACTAGAGTACAATGGCTAGAAATTCTTTCTCTGGTTAGGGCAGACCAAGGGCTCTTTTCTCATGAAGTCAAGGCTATGAGTCATCATAGGTAGCAAAGTGCCCAGGCCAGGCAAGAATGTCCCTAGGCTAAGATTAAGTCTAGCTTCTGAACTCAGTTTCTTCTTACTAATAGGAGTTTAGGGTATCCTTGTCTCAATCCTCTATCTAAATTAGTAAGCCCGTGTAATTCCTGTTTAACTTTTTATTGTCAATTTGTAGTGCTTCAGAACCCAAATGGGCTTCCCTTCCAACAAAATGCCAAGAGCTGGCTCATTCTGAGGCCATCCTAGTTTATCAATTCCTCCATGTAATTGAATGGGGTGGGGAGGAGTACCCAATAAAAAAAAATCAGGTGGAGTCTTTTTCAGCCTTAGGGTCCCCCCTCAATCCTCTCTTCCATATTCTGGCATATATTATATGTGGGTGGCAGGCCAAAAGACTTAGAGTCAGAACCAGTCAAGCAACTTAAAGATACGGTGAAAAGTAAATAGCCTAAGGATAAAATGAATATCTAAAATATCTAAAATAAAATAGAGGTAATGTAGTTTAATGCATAAAGTGATAGAACTGGAGTCAAAATCTGATTCTGGCACATATTGGCTGTGTAACAATGGACAAATCACTAAATTCTCTGTGCCTTAGTTTCCTCAACCATAAAATGGTCCTAATAATACCAGAAGTACCCACCAGGGAGGCTTATGAGACTCAAATGAATATAAAAACACTTTCCAAACTTTGAAGTCTTATCCAATCAGTTAATAACTAAAGTTATTATACTGCTAAGTGCTAAGCACTCTGGTATCCCAAAGGTCTTAGTGCAGTTTTAAGCTAAGACCTTTGGGACACCCAGTATTTATTTATTGAGCTAGACTTGTGATTTCATTTGTACAGGGAAGTTTCAATGAGGAAATTCCCCTTTTAGAAATGCCTGTCATCACCAGCTTTACAACTAAGAATCTTGGAGAATTTCATGGCTTACTCAGAGCTTAAATGACTTGCTCAGGGTCACACATCCAGTATGCATCAGATGTGAACACTTGAGCCCAGATCTTTATGACTTCAAGGTCATTCTGCTTCTCAAAGCACTCTATGAAGGCCAGTTATTGTTCTTATTCTTATTAATTGGAAACTACTTTTTATTCTTACCCCTTCCAAATTTAGGCAGAGAAACTTCATTCTATCTATAAAACAATATAGAAAGCATCTATTACTTGGAATGTATACAGTTAAAATCTGTTATTAAATATGTCATGACAAAAGCTTGGCTACATATCTTCATGAAATCCTTGCTGGTTTGCCCACAAATTGCTATTACAAAATTAGCATCTGAAAAAATACCTGATTGTAAATATACAAAAACAAATAGCTAAATAAAATTTCAAACACTTCTTAAAAAAAAAAAAGAAGCTATCTGTGTAGCCATGTTTTGAATAAGGGTAAATCAAATTCTGCAATGTTGTTTTATAATATATGCATATTTGTGAGTATAAATTGGACATTAGAAGTCACTTAAGAAAGGGCTCTGTAGGGATGGAGGCTGGACCTGTGATTTCAGACCCCAAAACAATCATACACAAACTCCCAAATGAGGAAACTTTCTATGAGTACTCTCATTATCTCTGGCCTAGACTGTTGAAATAACCTTCTCATTGGTCTCTCTCCTTCAACTCTTCCCCTACTCCAATCTATACTCCACTCAGATGTTAAAATACTTTTTTAAAGTGTAAGATCAGCCATGTTACCCTTCTATTCAGTAAATTCAGGTGGCTCCTTATTACCTCTAGGATGAAAATCCTGTGTCTGGAATTAAAAGTTCTGGCTTTTTTCTTCCTTTCAAGTCTTTTTATACTTTATTTCCCTCCATGAACTCTAAGATCCAGCCATACTGGCATATTTATTATAGCTCACACATCTTTGTTACATCTTAAGCCATCACATTGTTAATATCTCACTCTGTCTTTAGTCTCTGCCTTTGCATTGGCTGTCTCCTGTGCCTGAAATTCTCTCCCTCGTGCCCTCCACCTTTTAGCCTCCTTGGCTTCCTTCAAGTCTCAGCTGACATGCCACTTTCTGCAGGAGGCCTTTTTGAGTCCCCGCCCCTCACCCACTGCTAGTGCCTTCCCCTCTAAGGTGATCTTTCATCTATTCTTTTTTTTGTTAATTCAGTTTTATTTTATTTCCAATTCTGAATTCTCTCTCTTCCACCTTCCCCTTTCCACCATTAAGAAAGCAAAAACAAAACAAAACAAAATAAATAGCCTCCCCTACCCAAACTGAAAACCCATATTACACATATGTATAATGAAGCAAAACAAATCACTGCATCAGCCATGTCCAAACATATATATTGCTCACTCTCAATTTGAAATGTATCTTGTAGGTACTTATTATATACCTTCTTCCCTTCATAGAAAGTGAGCTACTTGAGGGCAGAGACTTGCTTTCTAGCTTCAGTGCTTAGTATAGTGCTAGGCAAATAGTAAGCACTTGATAAATGTTTCTTGACTGACTACCTTATACAGTTTTGTTAGGATTAAATAAAATAATATATGTAAACCCTATATGAATGACGCCTGTTATCATTTCTAGACACTCATTTGTTGATGTCCTTAAAGTGTGCTACTCAGAGTCAAACATAACTCTCTAGATGTGATCTGATCAGTGCAGAATGTAGTGATATTATTACCTCCCTTGATTTTGAGAGTCTTCTTTCTCTTAACATAACTTAAGTTTACACTACTATTTTTATCAGCAACTAGTTCTGGTCCATATTGAGCTTGTGGTCAATTAAAAAGTTTAAGCCTTTTTCTTATGAGTTGTTTTCAATCCAGTTCTCTCATGCCCTGTACTTGTGCAGCTGATTGCTCGAAAAAACACAGAAATTTTAATTTCTGCTTATTAAATTTCATCTTGTTGGTTTTGGCTTAGTATTTTAGCCTATAGGGAAAAGCAAAGAAGAACAGGGGTATGAAAGAGTAAGAATGGAAGAAATACTTGGAAGGAGGTCTTAACTGATTAGTCAAAGAGAAATGAAAAACAAAAGTTGATGATTTTAAGACTTTGTCTTGAAAATATTGTCAGCTAACTCCAAAATTATACCTATAAACTCAATCCAACTATTAAAGTGGGATAGAAAATTCAAATGTATTCAGTTCCAAATTTAGTTGGAATTATACAGCTGGCAGTATAGAAGAGACTTTTCCAAAGTCATCACAGATGGCTGGATGTCCCTACACATCATGAAGATTTTCAGATAAGGAGCTTCCACAGTAAGCTTCTTACTTGTCTTATAACCATTATGGTGAGTTAGAGCTTTCTTTAGTTTAAGAAAGCCATTAATTTAAGCCCATTTTCTTTTGTTTGGTTTTTGGTCACCATCCTCACTATTTAGGAAAATAAAGATTGACATCATAATCTTGATAAGTGTGCTAATCATTCTGGCCTTTGTGGAACAGACATTATTTTGCTTCACAGGCTTCCAAATCTTTCCTTGCCCTTACCCTTGATCTCTGACCCATGGGGATATACTCATGCAAACACATTGACCATCTGCCCTCCTACAAGTTTTTTATATGATCTTTTTTGTATGTGGCCACTTCTTCAGTTATATCAGCTCTCAAAATCTTTTCATCAAGTTATATTTCTTTTATTTCTAGCCTTTTTTGTCTTGATAAGTCTCTCAATAATATAATTTTATAGCATTGTTTCTTTAGGCTGCATCACCTTTGTAGTCCTTTGTTTCACTATCATTTAATTATCCCTTTCATTATACGTTTTATATTATAATAATTCTGTTGTTTCCATAGCCAAAAATGATATTCAATCTACAAAAGTATGTGTTCCACTTGAAGAAAATGTGAATATATCTGTATATTCATATCTATGTAGAAATAGCTACATATATAGATACAAAATTAACTATAAATAAATTTCTGAGTGATTACATTTC